CCATTTTATCTTTCCTTTATGCATTTAACTTACATTTCTTGTTTCTCTCTCTCACACACACTTTATCATTTTGTTTATGCATTTACTTAATAATCACTACAAAACTATGTTTGTGATTTAGGTAGTAAGAAAAAAGAAACCAAAGAAAATGGCAATTCAACATAATTAATTTCCAAAATGATATATAATATTTTGTAGTGGTAGTAGTAATACGGCTATTTTTTTCCTTCTTTTTTTTCATTTTCACAAATTTTTTTCGATGATTATGATTATTGATTTGTTGCTATGTGTTTTTTTCAATATATTTTTGGCACACGGATTCTTTTTTTCTAATTTTCTTTCATTTTACTTCCCTGTTCTTTTTTTCCTCTTGTGTTTTTCGAATGTCTATTTATTTATTTATTTATTCTGATATTGAATAATTGTATAATAAGTCATGTTTATCGATCTATAACGAAATTATATATATATACATGGAATGATTGCTTCCATTGGCTTAATCACTATACTTTTGGTCAGTACATTGTCGTTTCTTACCTTGTTCTACTTATAATTCACTTCAATTAGCACCCCACAAATTTTGAGTTGGTGGGGGGGGAGTATTTATAACAAGGGTGAATGATTTCATTGAAATTACGTATTCCAATACAAATCGGATGATTTAATTGTGAAGCTTTCATTTTCTTTCTAGATTTGTGAAGAAATTCTCATAGCTTATTTCCATCTGAAGTCTATGCTGATGATGATAATTTCATCTGGAAAGACAGTAAAAGTTTATGAGTTTTACTAGGAGATTTCCATTGGTCTGACTACAGTAGTCTGTACTTGATTGTTGAATAGTTTTGCTATAATATTTAAGATGTCAATTTTTCGTTTCAGTGCTATTTCATTAGTAGTGATGTAAAGAGACTTGATATTCAACTTCGTTTATCTTTGTAAAGATGATTCAAAATAAAAACAAGCTGTTATTGAACACATAAATAGAGTTTCAGTTTTCGTATAGCCAGGGCTTCAATAAACCTGAGTATACAACGTTGCACCCTATTGCATAACACTAAAAAGAGTGACTCGATATTAACCTTATGAATGATCTCAACCAAATGTTTCGCAGCCCCCAAATGCCCTGGTACGGCCGAGAGTGGGGAGAGTCCGCTCTTCCTCTCGAAATGCTCCCACACGGCCACGCGTATATAGCCTCTACTAGGGAAGTCCTACTCACTGCCTTCTCGAGGTAGGGGTGTTGTTTACGAAATTGAGAGGACGGAAAGCGAATGTCCGGCGCTTTAACCGGGTTGGTGGACATTGGAGACTCCACCTAGGGGAGTTGGAAAACCCTGATTCCAAACCATTGGTGCATATGGGCTCCAGTATCCTATAGAAACCAATGGCGTATGAACCAATGGTTGGTCGCCGGCTACCATGGGACTACATCTCCTTACGATGCTCCACTGCCTTGTAGACCAGACCTTTAGGTCGAAGGCTCGGGCTGTGGCCTCCTTAGAAAACCACCTGTTTTGGTCTAGGCACTCGGGCAGTATCATATCCCTCACACATATCAAATGAGATTTGTGTGGCGCATATGTAACTCGTGCCCCCTTGTACCAGTATTTATGTGTTCAAATAAATACATAAATGTTTCGCAAAAGAGGATATTTATTCATGCTATGATCGTATTTGTTCATTGCAGTTCTGTTTTTTTTAAGCCATTCAGATTTGTTTCTTCATAGTTTTGATAAACTTCATATTGCATTATTCAAATGTATCAACAGAAAAACTGATTGTTTTACTATTAACATTTCTCATGTTGTTTTAAAAATAAAAACACTTATTATTTGGAGGTAAATTCATAGGGGAAATTGTAAGAACTCATCTCTTTACTGAATTAATCTTCCTTGTTTCTATATTTCTCAAGTTGATTGTAAGTAAATTACATTTTATTCTAACAATCTAGTGCATCATTAATAATAATAAATTTTCATTTGATCAAATCATATTTGTTTGTTTGTTTGTTTTGTTTTTCTCTTCTTTTTTTTACATTACATGGACACATTTTTTGTTTAGATACAGGTTATTATATTTATTGTTTATGCTTTCATACATTTTCCATAGTTTGCATAACTCTCTCTTTTACATACTTTCACTCAATTATTTATATTTTTTCACCTTCTGTACCTTCTCCTTTGAAATTCCATCACAATAGTTTACCGCTTTAGTCGGTTTTATGTTTTATTTTCCCTCTCTCCAGTGTATTTTGTAAAAGAAAAGACATTTGTATTACATTCTACCTCTCTCTCTATCTCTCATATATATATTATGTAATAATGAATGCTACTGTAAAGCTTTTATTTATTTGTATCCTCAATCATAATAATAAGGATTCGAAGATATTCGAGAAATACTAAACTTTAATAAAACATTTTATCTCTCTTGCCATAATCTAATGAACTAACTAAGTAACTAACCATTCGACTATTTATATCTGTATATATTTACTTATAATGATAATAATCTTGTCCAAAATGTAAGTTCTACACATTTGTCCAGAATTCCACACAAATTCTTTAGATTATTCTAAGAAATTTACCATAGTTCTAATCATAGGAAGATTATTCTTAAAATACCTTTAATCAAGATTCTTTGCTTTGTGGTTGAAAAAAACACAACAACACTTAGATAAATCATGTGAAATTACAATAAGAAAATAGCTAAAAGACAGTAACATATATTTTTTTTCACTGATGTAAGTACTTTTTTTCTGTTGTTGCCAAACACAATCCTTATTGGAAACTGATATAAATTGAAAAGAATTAATGTAAGCTACTGAACAACAGATAGTCAGTAACAACATAGAACTTCGTACGGACGTACATCAGTTCGAGTTCCCACACCACATTAGCACAGAGATGCAGTTGTCGATTCAAATCCCGTAGTGCTAGATGTAGTGAAATTATAAGCTATAATAAAAAAATAGGGTTTGAAGATGTTATTCAAAGAGTACAATTCAGTGAAATAAATTTGGAAAGAGAAAAAAGAAACGAACATGAAGAATTCAGAAGATAAGAATTTGGGAGAACACAAAGAGTGGATGCACCTGCGCCATTGCAAACGATTTTGAGCCGTGTCATTCAGGGTCTCTAACCATCGGTTGCTATCATCTCGCGGTCTCCAACCAGGTAGTCTACACCCACCAATATGATTCAGTCTACTTTTCAGTGACTTCATGGACTTGTGTCATATTTTGGTCTGGCCGCCGCCTAGCTTTCTTCCAACCTACTCCTATACCACTGAACATAGCACGTCGAGGCAGTCGGTCATTGGGCATACGTAACACATGTCCCAGCCATCTCAACTGATGAAGTTTCACTACTTCATCAATTGATTTGCCATCTTTACCTAGTACCCGTTTCCTAACAACTGTGTTACTTACTCGATGGTCCCATGATATACGAGCAATGTTTCGAAGACACCTATGATCAAATACTAGTAGCCTACGGATATCCTCTACTCTTACCGGCCATGTTTCACTGCCATAAAGTAGGACGGAACGAACTGCTCTGTTTTACATTTGGGCTATCTAAACATTGAGCAATTGTTCACCTCCGTTTAAAGTTATACAAATTTACAACTAGATTATTTGTGTATTCATGATGAAAACCATGTTTGTGTAAAAAAGATGTTGTACGATAATGATAACAATAATAATTTAAAACACGATTTTAAATTGCTGTAATATCTTAATCGTAACGCAAGTCTAAACAAGAGAGACATTTTCAATGGAAGTATTAATAATAATAATAATAGTACTTAACACTTAAAATTTAGAGTAAGATAGAAGGTAAGCGCAACTGTTTCACTGTTACCCGATTTTTCACTATTTCACACAATTTCTACAATCAATGAGTATTAGTATTACGTAGGGGCTGCAACTGAAAAGTACACGTCTGCCGATATATTTTAGACGAGTAATTTCAACGACTTCATTGATCAGTACTATTTCATGTTATGCTCATCTCCAACTTTATTCCAATCTACTTCTGTTGTATCCTGATAAGCATAGTGAATGGTAATTTTTGGGATCCATTTATGGACCAATATTATGAGTATATTTTTATCGTATAATTCTTATGAAACTAAACTGTTCATATTCATGCCCCTGTTATTATGAGCTTTATTTTGACCTATAAACTATTATTATACGATTTACCATTCATGAATTATTCCCTGTCTGTTGATCTATACCTCCCTCATTCACAGCCACATCTGGCTAATTCTTGTACAAATGTTGTTTCATATTTTATTGGTACGTTGTGTTCGGTTTGTTTGGTATATAAACTCAGTATGCTTGAAATGTAATGATTCATATCTCAGAGGCTGAGATTGGTGTTTTGGACTCAACTGGCTGGGCTAGACAGGGAAGTAGGGCCAATCAGGACTCTAGGTCGTTCTTACGTGTTTTACGCGTCTTTGGTCCGATCGATAATTCGCTGCCGTCTAATCCGCAGTCACAGTTATAACAATTGTCGACGGGGTAAAAAAGCGATCCAAGGTCAAGTTATAACAACTTCTTTGTGATAGAGAATCATATTGTTTTTCATTTAAAAATTGAAATAAAATGGATTTATATTATTGTATCTGGCAAATTTTATGCACAATTAATCAGAGAAGAATGATTATATATGAAAGCACCATTGTCTATTCGATCATAGAATTTTAATAAAATCTGTGAGATAATTATCTCCACAAAGAGTTTTAAAAGGTACATGTTAATCATAAAGTAATATTTGACTGTTTCTCCTTAATTATTCTATAATTATTAGTGTATTTACTCCTGTTTATACTACAACCCTGAGTCATAATTTCTGTCATTAACTCTACTTTTTCAGTTGAGTCTAGTTGATGTAAGTACTTCTTTTAAAACGAAGATTGCATTTTATCAATTTACTGTATTGTTTTATCCTTTACTCACATCGCTTTTATTCTCATTATTTTTCTCTTTCAAGACAACGTATGTCTGCCAAAGAATGTCTCAATCATCCTTGGCTCCTCCAGTCATTAAATCAACCAATCATAATCGAAACAGAAATTAATCATCAATCATCACAAACCACATTGTATAATAACAAGAATAGTAGTAGTAATGATGATAATGTGAAATACGCTATTGAATTATTCAGTGTAGATCCAGTTGTTGAAATTGTTGATGAATTTATATCACCACATTGTTTAGCCCAGTTTATAGTACAATCTCCTGTATATATTGTTCCATATGTAGATGTTGTTAGTCAAACAAATTTTTCTAAACTAATGCCTTCATTAAAATTATGTGTTAACTATCTTCCTATTATCAACTCAGCAGCATCTACACATTTTACCTCTTCAATAAATAACCACCCATCATCATCCGAACGGTTTATTAGAAAGATATCCAAAAAACTAATTAATGGACATTTCAATCTACTTAAAAGTATTTCCGAGTCAACCAAAATTTGTTCAAGTAATTCGAACAATGACAATCGTTATGTTGATACTGACAAGTGTTATCAGTTGATGAATAGGCATCCCATCGGTATACATGATGAATCAAGATCATTAACCAGTTATTCTAAACTATCCATCAACAACTTGTCAAATTCTAACGTACTTGAGTATAATAGTTGGAGAAACAACAAATCGACTGGAAATTGTGTATCAATTTTTTTATTTATTTCAAATTATTTACAAGAATATCAATTATTCTTAATGTTTTGTGATTTAAATTATTATAAATTACTTGATCGTGATTTTTATTTCTTTAACCGTCATAATACTACTAATATTGTTGATAGTAGTAGTAGTATCAAAGAGACACTTAATACAAATGCTGAATTATTTGTAAATTTTCCATTGTCAAGCAAAATTCACCACCAGAAACAACAACAACCTAATGAAAATGATATAACTCAAAATGTAATGAATAGAAATTATGAAATGAAAGAATTAATTACAATATCTAAATATACTACTGATATAATGCCAAAAGTAAATGAAATTATTCCAAAAAAATTTATAAATTCACATATTTCTACAATTCGTATTGAATTAAATTCATCAATAAAAGAAAAATTGAAGCTAATGAATTCCTCAGATGATCATTATAATTTTAATCATAAAAGAGACTATTTGTCCTATGACTTTTGTAAGTTATATGATATTTTTAAAGTATAATTTAATTGATATCAAGAAGGAGTTTTGTGAATATTGTAGTAGTTTCAATGATTGAGATCGTGAGTCAGTTGATGTTAGACCACCATGGGAAACCTGGTTTCGCATGGTGGTCTAACATCAACTGACTCACGATCTCAATCATTGAAATTACTATCATCTAATTATTAAAAAAAGGTGAATTGTTTTGTTTTTAATAAATTGTAAAATCAAACTTATCTAAACATTCAATAGAAGAATGATTATGGTACCGGTTCATTATTTTAATGAATTGGTGAACAAATAATTCGTTTCCAAAGATGGGAAATATTAAATTTCATTTTTGTAAGAACTAATACTCCCAAGATCATAGGTATGTTTAAATGATGATGGCTAACTAACATGAAACCTAGGTCAAATAGAGTACAATGTTTGCTATCTTCAACTAATCGATGGTCTTATTGATGTTTGAATTCTTGTCACTAAGCTTCATAATGAACTGCATTATTCAGATCTTAACTAATCTATAAGACTAACACATACATCTTCAATATTTGAAATCGAAATTTATGTCCAAAGTCAGTGTTACTCTGTTGTTTAAACTGAAATGTTTAACAACTATATGATTTAGTTAATTTTTAATTCTGTAACATTCAACCTAGATGTCAAAAATATTTAAGTCTTAGTGTTTAATTACTATTTATTTATTATTTCCTGAATCTATTACAACATCTCTTAACTCCTAAGATTCTTTGAGATGCATATTTCTATTGAAAAGTATAAAATTATTGTCTCATTAGTGTTATTCATTTGAAGCAATAGTTTATGTACTAGATTTTATGAAATGTAAGTAGTTAGATTGCAAATTCCGACACGGTTCCGTCATAATTTAATATAAATAGCCGTATAATACAAAGGTAAGTACATGAATCTGTACCCAATAGATGTGTTATGTTATATTGTTATTTAGTACTGTTCAAGGTTCCTATGTGACTAAGTAGTTATAGTAATGATTTAGTCATTTTAAAATACATAAAAATTAACTCATCATATAAAGTTCTGTATAAGTTAGACATTTACTGTGCATAGAAAGATTAAAGTTGATTTTATTCAGTTATAGCGATTCAATATTCTTTAACTTTGCTTAGAATAATATGATAAATGCATGAAATGTAATTTGTTTCGCGTGTTATGAGTTTTATTAGTATTCACTACTTATAAGTAGTGAAATATTTCCAAAAGAAATATGATTCGATATTATTTTGTTTGGGTAAAATCTTAGCTAATTTTCTGTGTGCAATATAGCATAATGCATGTTTTGAATCTGTGTTTCTGTTTCTAATGTCATACACATAAATGATAATTTATTTACTTGTTTCTATTGACATGGAATGTTTCTTAAAAATGATTCAGGTTGAAATTTCAATCACAACTATTAAAAAACAAAGAACATTGCACCGCTTTTTAATTTTATTATGTGGCTTTTTAGTAGTGCATATCAAGAACCTCTTATCTTCTCAGTAAACATTCTATTGAGTTGTACAATTGTTCACAAATTTTTAAAAATGTTGTCCAATCATCGATATATGTAGCTTCGGTCTTTATTCTGGCTTCCAGACAAGCTAATTTATTTATTCTTCTTGATTCACATTTTGACCTATTCGCTTATCAACTTAACATGAATTATTGATATGACTAAAGCATAATTATAATAGTGTAGAGTAAAATGGGTTGATATTGTGAAGGAATTCTCTTAGCATTGACTACTCAAAATGATGAATGATCTTGGAGTAGAATATTTATGAATTTAGTTGAAGGTTGTAATAAAAGGTTATTCGTACAATGAATTATTTGTCGAACCCTACGTCGTACGTCTATAACTAATCGATTCTGAAGTCGAAAGAAATAAAAATTGATATTTATTTTGATTAAAAGTCAATTTCGTAGGATAAGCTGAAAACATATTTAATACATTTAATCAGTTTACGGTGGTGATGCTCTTTTTAAGGTGTATCAGGAAATATATGTGGTCTGTCGTTACACTGTATTATTGTGCACTAAATTAGTTGGGAATTAGTTTTTGGAACTACTCTATACCTTCTGAATGTGAAGTACTGTTTGACCAACATGTACTTTTTTCACTTTTTGTGGTGTACTACTGGAAATATTTGAAAAAAATTGTTTACCTGAGTAGATATTTTGGTGCTGGTGTTAAATCCGAAAATGAAGTCAATATATGTATAGTGAAAGCTAGAGCGACTTGTACCCATATAAATCATCTTTAGCGCCAACGTAGTTCCAGTTTAACTCTAAAATGTCTGCTTTGTAACGCACCGGTGAAATCTATTCCGTTTTAGGCTTTCGAATGGATGATGTTTGGCCACTCTTTATGTTTGATCGTCATTGATTCTGAGAAATTGACAATTTTCGGTAAAAACCATGCTAGTAATGCTAATGGGTAAACCTTAATTATATACATAATGCTTAATTACTATTTTCATATTGAATATCTCCCCTCACCATCAGTAAGCAGTGAGACTAAATCAGTAGTCCGCACCAGTCAATATAGATGTTGGCCGAATTTACCTAAGTATTGTGATGCAATGTCCAAAAAATCTGCTTGGAGTTACATGAAGTTGTCCTGATTCATATTTGGTGACTTTTATAAAACAACGTAGTATTTATACCAGTGATACAAATGAAAACATTCTTTATCTGACAAACACCAAAAATGGTAATTTTTTATACTTTTGGTCCTCGGACTTCATTCATTCAGTTTAAAAGAGCACAGTATTACTAACTGAGAACCTAGACTATATCACTTTGAATGGAGTCTAGACATGTGAGCTTATTAACAGTGTAGTATGTGCTACTGATGTCGACAGATATGAGTACTATGTATCATCCATCGAAATTAAAATGCCTGGAGGCAGAAGGTTAAGAAGACCGAAGAAAAGAGAACAGAGAATGATTGCTGTAAAAACAATGATGTCTAAGACGATTGATTGACATTTTGCAAATGAACCATTTACTATATGGCTCTCAGATTTTACTATGATATTCTGTAATTTTAGTTTCTAATACATTTGATTATCCCCATTTGTGTTCTCGTTCACTACAGTAGTAAGCCATGTACTTTGACTACTAGGTCTACTAATCTACACCGTAAATATCAAAAGTTATTATCAGTTATATTACAATAAATGAGCTGGATGAACCAAACCATACAGCTCAGAGAACAAACTTACTTACTTACGCTTGTTACTCCTCGTGAAGGAGCATAGGCCGCTCACCAGCATTCTCCATCCAACCCTGTCCTGAGCAATCCTTTCCAGCTCCTTCCAGTTGTTATTTATCCTTTTCATATCTGCTTTTATTTACCCACGTAATGTGTTCTTTGGTCTTCCTCTTTTCCACTTCCCTTCAGGCTTCCAAGTTAGGGCTTGCTTCGTGATGCAGTTTGACGATTTGCGTAATGTATGTCCTATCGATTTCCATCGTCTTTTCCTAATTTCTTCTTCAGCTGGAAGCTGGTTTTTTCTCTCTCACGAAAGGCTATTGCTGATGGTGTCCGACCAATGGATGTTGGGTATCCTGCGTAGACAACCACTTATAAATACTTGCACCTTCTTGATGATGGTTGTTGTAGTTCTCCAAGTTTCAGCTCCATACAGTAAAACTGTCTTGACGTTCGTATTGAAGATTGTGACTTTGATATTGGTTGAAAGTTGTTTTGAGTTCCATATGTTCTTCAATTGTAGGAATGCGGCCCTTGCTTTGCCAATCCTCGCCTTTTCGTCTGCATTTGAACCTCCTTGTTCATCGATGATGCTTCCCAGGTATGTGAAGAATTCTACATCTTCCAGTTTCTCCATCATGTGTGACTGCATTGGTGTTCTCCGTGTTGCATTTGAGGACCTTGGTTTTCCCCTTGTATATTTTGAGACCTACTGATGCAGAGACTACTGCTACACTGTCTGTCTTTATCTGCATTTATTCGTGTGTATGCGATAGGAAGGTTAGGTCATCTGCGAAGTCCAAATCGTCTAATTGATTCTGAGCTGTCCATTGTATTCCGTGTTTTCCCTCAGATGTCGAGGTCTTCATAATCCAGTCGACTACCAGAAGAAAGAGGATAGGAGAAAGTAAACAGCCTTGTCTGACTCCGGTCCTTACTTGGGATGCATCTGTCAGCTGTCCTCCATGCACGACCTTGCACTGTAGTCCGTCGTATGAGTTTCGGATAATATTGACAATCTTCTCAGGAACTCCATAATGTCGAAGAAATTTCCATAACATCCTCCTATCTACACTGTCAACTGCCTTTTCATAATCAGTGAAGTTGATGTACAGTGTTGAGTTCCATTCAACTGATTGTTTGATCATGATCCGTAGTGTCACAATTTGTTCTGTGCATGACCGATCCTTACGGAATCCAGCTTGTTGATCTTGAATTTGGGCGTCTACTGCATCTTTTATCCGGTTCAGCAACACTCTGTTAAAGATTTTCCCTGGTATTGATAGTAGTGTAATGCCTCTGTATAGGGCATGGGGTTAGCGACCCCATCCCGTAGAAAACTAACTCGTTTAAAAAAAACGCTAACCAGAATCAGAAAACAAAACTCCATCAAAATCATTCATCTAAGCTACAAATCTTCTCCACTATCTCATAATAATCATACAAGTATAATTATCTTAGATTAAGTTATTTGTTTAATTCATTACTCGACTTATTTCGAAATTTATGTTTTATTTTTTCTTTATTTTCAATTTCTATTTGAATTATGGTACCTCTTTATTCTTCTTCCTTTTTTCTTTAAAAAAAATAATGTACATGGCGTCGTTTCTTCTTATTGAAGTTTATCTTCCAAAAAAAAAAGTTAAAATTTCAATATTGAATGAATCAACTTTTTCTTTCTTTTGATTTCTTTATTCCATTTTTTTCTTCTTTTTTAAAAATCGATTTTGTATATTTTGTTTTAATTATCTTTATGATAAGTTTTCTAGAAAGAAAAAAATTAGATAAATATATTTTTCATGTAATTTAAATAATTTTCTTTTCTTTTGTTTTTTTTGTTTGTTTGTTTACTTATGTTCATGTAATTTACAAGAACAGAAAATGTGAAAATTTTATGGAATATAAATGAGTTTTGGTTTTTTTTTTCAAGATTCTCTAAGTATTAGGTTTCTTTTATACAATATAAGTTTAAGCTTAAAGATGCTGAAATATGATTTCCTTCTCAAGGTAATAATTGTACTCTATTGGTTGAGAATATATATGGTTTTATTTATTTTATTTTATTTTATTTTTTTGGAGGGAAAAAGGTATTTATTAGTCAATTATTTATATACTTTCAATTCGATTAGCTAACATCATCTTTATACTCACTTAGGTAGGGTTTTTTCTTATGAATGTATATATCTGTAGCAGACATAGAGTAGCCTTACTGTATAACAAAAATATCCCCTAGCATATAAAGGTACCGATTTAAACGTTTTTGATAGAGGCTGTAAACACATGATCAACCGTATGAAAGCATTTTAATAAATAGAGTAGACTTCTCAGCAGTTAGTCAGTCAGTGATCTTGAGTGTTGTTAGAGGTATGAGGGCAGTTATCACTTCCCGGTTTCCCATACTGTGGAAGGGTTCTTACATAGGTACCTAAAAAGGAAATTGGTTTAGAGGTGGTCTTACTGACCTGAGAGCGCGACCGCAGTGACCAAGGGATACAACTGCTTGAGGTCGGCCACACACGACGTTTTTGTGGGTGATTTTTGTGTTAGCTCCGTACGTGTTGAGACTTTACCGCCCGAGACGGATATCCATGAGATAAGGCGAGGTGTGCATTTTTAGAGTCGACCTTTTTTAACCCCACTCTTTCTTGTGGGAAGGCAATACCGCTGTTACGCTGGTTGTCTGAAGGAAACACCTTACTGCCGTCACACATCTGTACAGTCAGCAGTACGACTTGACCTTCAGACCTTGGGTTTACTGCTTTTAGTCTTACCACTCTTCAACCGACCTGCCTGACATGGTAGGACTTTGAAGAATGATTATTCCAGCTAGTATACCTCGATTGGTTCATCACGATAGGCAAGCCTGAACACCACTTCAAGGTAGCAACAACGTTCAGGTTGGAATTGTCAGCCTTAGCTGATTAATAGCCCATTGGAAGTGTGTTGGGTGTGAGTTTAATCTAAAGCTTACTGGTCAAAAGCTTTAATCACTAAGTTATCACTTTATCTTCTCTTTATTTAAACATCATATATCATAATTTACATTGATGATTCATTAAAAATAATCAATCTACAACTGTATTATCATTTCTCAACCGTAAACCATGTGAATCTATGCATGAAGATTTATGTGTTGTTGCTTTATTCTATCAGAATGATTTCACAAAAACAAAAATAATGATTAGTCCATTGCTTCATAATCCACATTTTGTGTATTATCTTTTTTAATTATTTGTCATTATTTCTTATACTTTATTTATGCATGTGCTTGCATTAAAATTTATTCATTTTCTATATATTAAATAAAGCATGGATTAAGCATAATCATAATAGTGGAAATGATAATAAAGCATGGAATTTATTCAATTCTCCTCTAATTACTTCATCTTCAATGTTGTTTTCTTTACGTGATCATCATCATCATCATATTCGATGTAATTCAATCATTAGCAATCAACCAATTCTCAACATCAACCAATTCATCAACTGTTCATTCAATAATTATGACCGCTACCAATTAAAATGTCATTATCAACAAAACCATACAACAATTATGAAATTGTCTAATATTAGTCAAATTAAATATATAAATTTACCATTATCATACATAGTACATCGTATACAATTAATTAAGACAAGATTATTTCATGATTTATTCAATTGGATTAATTTATTTTTAAGAAATCTTTTACATTTATTATTTTTTTTATTACCATCATTATTTGGTAAATAAATTAAGAAAAAAAAAATAAGAAGAGAAGAATTTTGTTGAAAATAAATGAAAACAAAAAAAAAGAAAAAAAAAGTGGGGCAAGGGGGGTCGAGGGGAGGAGGCATCATTTTATCTTACATATTAATGATTTCAGTCGATAATGAACTTGAATCCGTCCAATTTCTTGTTCATTTATTTTTTTTTACGTTAATATGTAGTGATAATTTTTCGTTTTCGTTCGTTTTTAATCTTTTTTTTTTTGTTGTTGTTTGTTTTTACTCAATTCGTTTCTTTCTTGATCTGTTAATATGTTTGTGTACATGTTCACTTTCGACAATATTCAAAATTATATTTCGGTGGTTGAAATCAAATGAAGAAAAAAAGAAGAAGAAAAACTTTAATAAAGAAAACTAGATCTCTAGAAGAAATTAAATTGTATAAAGGGTACACTTATTTGAAACAAGTTTTGTATGATGTTTCTGTTCTCTCTCTCTCTCTCTTTCCCTTCCTTTTTATGTATTACCTGTTATATATTGTTCAGTTGAAATCTACTATACTACAATTGCTTTTTTAGTGTCTATCGAATTTAATCATTTGATTTAGTAATAGACGAATTTTCAAGTTCTTGAATATCGAGTAATTCAAATCGCTGAATTGATCCATTCATGATAAACAATGTGTAATCTCTCATCATTTCGAATAAAATATTATTTATGATTGAACGGATGACTTAATGCGCCATAAGCATACTGTTTTTGTCGGTTTCATTTAATGACAGATCATTTTTTTTCTTTCTTTTCTGTTTGCCTATGTATGCTTTTTCTAAAAGACATTCTGATACTACTTATTTCTTATAACAGCATATATATATATATGTGATAAATAACTGCTCAATATACTTGTATTTTAGGAATTAATTTTAATTCTATGGAAAATGTTTAATGGAGTAATTCAATACATATATGAAGTGATAATTGTTAGTTGTTTTGTTATATCTAGAGCTTAGATTTTTAATATGCCGCATATAACTTGAATACTGGAATGCTAGAACCCTCCCAACTCACACATGAGAAGACAGAAGACAAGTGAAAGAAATAATATTCCAATTAATATCAATTATGGTACAAAACTGTCAGGTATTTATAGTTTTTAGTAAGAACGAAATTATCATGATAGTCCTCCAATTCGCATACAGGGAGTTATCAGCATTTATCCAATAGGGGAGCTACATGTATGGATTCTGGAACATTCTTCCAAAAGATGATTGGACGGAATATGTTCGACTCTTTCTGAGCTTCTTAGAGCTTCATCGGGTACACCCATGAACCGTCCTCATATGTTTTCAATATATTTTAGCTTATAATTGGATATATAGATAAACATTATACTATAGATAATTATTACAATGTGACCATTTCAAGTTGATGTGCTTTTAGCACCGAAACATGTTGTCTGAACTTTTTAACTACTCTGTTTGCAAAATATGGAAATTAGCAATGAAGCTTGTATTCCTTGTTGTGATTCAAAATAACAAATAATTCTTGAGATTTATGTAATACTAAGATAGTATTTACCTAGTTATACCTAATATGTTAGCTACTCAAAACAACTGATTTAAGCTTACAACTTAACTGACTTTCTTATTCTCATATGGAGAATAATGTTTAATTTTTTTAACAATCTTGATTCGATATTTTAAACAAACGCCAACACTCATTCGAAAGTATCAACAGTTAAACACATATCGTCTTATTTCAGTTTCCTTCAATGCTTTAGTAACATAGAGATAACGTTTCCTCAGTATATTCATCCTTCGACAAACATTTCATTATTTATCTAACATTATCAACAGTATTCTCAAGTTCCAGTGCTTAATTTTGTGTAGAGCTTTCTCTAATTTTGTTGAGATTTCTTTACCCACCATGATTAATTTATTGCTTCTATTATTCAGCTTGACCAACGTCTACCCTAAGTGTTATGATTTGTGAATTACTTTCTTATTTTAACGGATGGATGAGTAGAATGCTTTTTTAGTATTAGACGGGATTTACACAAACTACACCGATCGGGCGACTAAAATAGTATAAAGAGAAAACGAGACATTCATGAGAGCTTTAATATCCTCAACTTATAGCAGAGACAATGACATCTGAAAAATATTTGAAAAAAAATTAACAGACTAAATGACAAGGTAGATAATCAAATAGTAGCAAAGATCATTGTAATAGTTTAAGTAAAAATCTAAGAATCGGTTATGTGTGGTGACTAAAATATTTTAACAAAAGGAAAGAAACCTAGATGTTTCGAAGTCTGTGATGTATTTCCCAGGTGCTGGAGTTGTATTTTCTATTACATCTATTGACCTCACCACCAGTTCATTCCTTGAGTTATCAAATTTTCTGAATTTGCTAAGCGTATTTTGACTAAAGCGTCCATCTGTGTACCCTGTAACTCCACAGTTGCCACATCGATAGGTTTTGTGCTAGGATGATTTAGCGAGTCGTCATTTACTACAATGCATTCTCTGTTTGATTCATTGACAAGATATAATACGGTGATTGCCGAAAGACTGGGATAAAGAGATCCCAACGAAGAAAACTTTCTTTTCCACGAAATCATTTACTTAAGCTGTACATTCGTATTTATAGTTGTGTGTTAAATATGTGCCTATAGAAGGATAGGAAAGATTGCATCATAAACTGATTCGAGACTATAAGCAACGATGGACAATGGCTAGTAGTGGAATCCAGGACGCGCATCTCGTCGTATTTGGGACTCGTCATCTGGATGTACCTGGGATGCTAGCCATTATCCATCTTTGCTTATAAAGCTTGTGACTTAAGACTATATCGAGGCAATCCACATCTGATGCATATGTATCAACAAGAGACTGATCAATTGCAGCCCTAAACATCAATGGGAAGATGCAAGTAAACAAAAAGAAGTGAATTCGATTCGAGACTAATTATAAAATGAGGTTACGTAATAATCGGAGTGTTAGATAAGAATAGAAAGATGAAAATAATTTACGGGTCAAAATTATGTAAGGTAATTGTCTACTTTACAGATATGAAGAAAAAACAACGAACATAGAGGTCATAATAAAAACTGAATAATAATCATGAAAAATTGTTAAAGGATGATAAGTGATAACAGTTTATAATTACAAAACGCTAGTTTAAAAAACATACTACAGGAGGGAATTTGGGTCAAGGAAAGATGAGAGGTTGAAGGTATTGTTATTGCACGTAGAGTTTGGGCTTGAACGGGTGGATCGCTAATGCCTCAGCAGTACATAAGCTTTTGATTAGGCCTCCCTTTGATCCAGTTCTCTTGATTGTGCAGATTATTTTTTTTAAAGACTTTCGGAGTGACGTGTCTAGAGTTGGTTAGACGCTCCCGTATTAAACTGGTAACTGTTATTCAGTCTCCTTTTAAAATCTGTGTCGGGTGATGTTCCGAGATGCGTTCAGAAAGTGGTCGCTTTGTGCAATTGCATTTTAAAATCTCAGACATGTAGTGATAGGACAGAAACTTAAAAAGAAGGATGTAGAGTATAATCATTATACATATACTGAAAGTCTTGTACCTCATATATATTTAGTCAACATTGAGCAACGTCTGACACATCGTGGCGTGCTTATTTTATCCTAAAGAAAAAGACTGAGGAAGAGCTAAATAATGGTCAAAACCAACTTAACTGGAAAAGATATTCAGGCAAACTTATTAAGAAGCATATGAAGAGATTAAGTCAATGATGATGGCTATTCTAAATTCTACTGATTGATCAACTCCAGATATCCCAGTACGACCTCAGTACTGTTCCAATATATGAGAACACGAACTGTTAGGTGAAAGAAGAAGAAGAATACAGACAAATGCATATTTATACAGTTAGGAGGACCGTGAATATTGACCACTAGGAAAATGACACGTGAAATAAATATTGACCAGTAGGGAGACGACACGTGAAATAAATACTGACCAATAGGAAAACGACACTTTTTCACGTTCAAGAATAGCATTAGACTTAACAGAATAATTTTTGGGTTTTTTTTATAAATATCCCAACAAAAACCAAAGGGTTGCTACGTTGCATAGTACCTTTACGGAATCCGACCTGTTGATTTCGAAGTTGGGCATCTACTGGATCTTCCACTCAGTTCAGCATCGCTCTGTTGAAAACCTTTCCTGGTACCAATGTAGTTTTCACATTTGCTTAGATCTCTCTTCTTTGATATTCCAATGAGGAATCCCTCTTTCCAGTCTGTCAGTGCCACTTGTCCTTCCTCCCAAATCTTCCTGAATAGAACGTGGAGCATAGTTGCAGTTACTTGTATATCTGATTTTAGAGATCCAGCTAGTATACTGTCAGTTTCTTCTGCTTTTCCACTCTTACTTTGTCTGATGACAGACCGTCCTGACTTCGATCGTTGGTGGAGTGACATCTATAGGAAGGTCTGTGTGTGCTGCCTCAATATCTGGTGGATTCAGTAGGGCTGGTCTATCTAAGAGTTCCTCGAAGTGTCCTAGCCATCTGTTCATGAATCTCAGTAGATTGATTTGCATTCCTTGCCCTTGACCGGTATCTCTGGTTTACTGTATTTCCCTACCAGTTTCTTTGTCGCGTTATATAGTTGTTTCATATTTCCTTTTCTTGCTAGCCCTTCCACGTGTTTCTGCTTGTTAAGTCTTATGCTCATCTTCACTTGCTTGTTTGCTTCTGTGTATTCAGCTTGTGCCTTGACTTGTTCTGTTCTGGTTTGGGAGTTGTTAGTTAATAAGAATAAGAACAAACAATCAATATGGTTACTACTTGATAATCAATACAAAAGTTTTCATTTTTATTGATTAAATGAAAGTTTATCTGGAAACCAATTTATATTTAAAATTGATAATCTGAATGAAGGAAAAAAAATTTTTTTAATCGGTTGTTCTCGAGGAAATTTACTGTAATCGTTATATACCTAGTGAAGGTTAAATTACGAGTAACTTTCGAGACCTATTAATGGACTAATGTTATATATATATATATACTTATGGTATAACTATTCAGTAACTAGATTGTGTATAGTTATATTCATCTTATTATATGCTTCATTCTGACATAGATTATCATTATTATACTATTTACTGTTCTTACGTCATGTTCAGCTTGTTGATTACAGTCTCCTACGTTCACAGCCACTTTTTTTGGCTTGATCTTATGTAAATGTTATTTCCTATTTTATGATGTAATGAGGTCTATTTGACTGGTTTATAAACCAAGTATGTTTGAAATAAACGATTTGTATAGTGGAAGCTGTTATTAGTATTCTGGGCTCAACTGGATGGGCTCGGCGAACAAAGGACTAATAAGGGTGCCAGGCTACTCACCGGTCGAAGGTCATTGGTTTAGCACAGTACCAAGATTGAATAAGTCGTATTTTGATTGGCGAATAAATCACGTGATAACTAGTCGGACTTAAAGTCACAACAGTAATGACATTTGAACATAATGACTAGCTTAAAAAGATTGTTAGAAATAATAATAAACATGTGTGTGGATGGATGAATTGACTACTATACAGTAAGCGAATAAGAACAGAGAGAAGCCAGTGAAGAAAATTTTCTTTTCAATGAAATCATTTCCTTAAACTGTACCTTCGTAATTATAGATATATGGAGAATGTGTGTCTATAGAAGGATAGAAAAGATTACATCATAAGTTGATTCAAGACTCTTATTATCAAATGAGATTACGTAATGAAGATGGTGGTTGGAGGTAGTCAACAGGAAACCCTGGACCCGGGTCCCGTGCTACTTGACACTCGTCAGCAAGGTGTACCTGTAATCTTGAGGGAACTGGTGCTCCCTAACGGATTCGATCTCGTGTCACCCAGCTTCACAGTCAGAGACGTTACCACTGAGCTATCCGAGCCGTGACTAACCTACTGTAGGACTGAGATGTAATCACAATTGATTGATCACTG